GGGGTTGCCAGATTTCTCTGCCAGTCAGTTTGTATTTAGACGATGGCTTAAAGAAATCCTAAGCAACAGCATTTGATTCAGTCATATACCTGCTTCTAATTGTGAAGCCTGGGCAAGCAGACATTTGGTTTAGTTTAGTATTCTATATCTCACACGTTTTAATGGATTTCCTCATTGTTAGCTATTTTATTGTATTCTGTAAAGCCCTTTGTACTTAATTCTCAAAATTATTTTCTTCTTCTTCTCTTTTTCTTCCCACCCCATCCTGATCTAATTTTAGTCATTACTTTCAGTTTTGGTTAGTTTCATTTTTCTTCTTGTTTCTGTGAAGGAATTCCTGCTAGGTATCGTAAACCAAAAGCAAAAGTGGTGGCAGATAAATTGAAAATATCTATATTAGTGTTGGTACATAACAACAGCCAAGACACAATGTGCTAGTGCTGGTATAGACTTACATTAAAATAGATGAGTAAATAACAGCATGAGAGACCAGTTTATAATTTGATAATGCAACCAAAAACAATGCTGGTTTTTTTTCTTATTCATAAGGAGTCACTACAGGAGCTCAGTCTGCATGTACAAGATGTCCTTACTGATGCAGCCGTCTCCCTTTTCCCCTGGTATGAAGCAGGGGATTTTTTAAATGTTAGGTACTTGTGTTAATCATTACACTATGGGGCCACTAGTTTAAAGCTGTACAATTTACCCAAACAAAAACCAATGAACTAAAAAGTTTCATTTCTTGTTTGTCGCCTTCCTTTTTGCTCACTTTTTCCTCTGTATCACAAATTATAAATTCAACCAAAAGGTAAAGTAAAGTGCAAGGAAACATCATGCAAAAAGTGTTCCCTTGAGATTTATTTGAGATCACTTTGAAACAGAACAAAGGAAATACTGACAAGAAATGCTGTAAACCTTCTAGTGTGGTACCTAAAACTACAGCCAATGCTACAACCAGGATTTTAAACGTATAGAGGTGAAATAGAAATCCATATACACTTAAATAATTATTCAGTGAAAATGTTGCACTGCTGCAGTGGCTAACACTATTGTCTAACAGCAAGACGTTCCTGGTTTGAATTTGCAAGCCAACTGAGGCCTTTGGGTATGGTTTGCTGTGGCTCTCTCAGGGTACTGTAGCTTCCTCCTACAGTTCAAAGAAATTCATAACAGATTAGCTGGTAATGCTAAAATGCCAATTGTTGTGAGTGTGACTAGTTGCCTGTCTCTGTGTTAGCCCAATGATAGATTGAGGGTAATGCATATGGATCTGTCCTGGACGTGTGTCTCTTCTCTTCCAATTACCCTGAATTGGACAAGTGGTTAACCTGAGTAAGTTTCAAATTATATAACAATCTTTTATTCAGTTAATATTGTTTTTCTCATTCACAAAGGCAATGAATTAAAATCTGCTGGGGAAAGTCTCTTAGTTCTTACACATTTTTTGTTAGTCTGAAAACAATTAAGTATGAATCGACTGTAGTATAGAAATCGTGCTTTATAAACAACAAAGGGGTTTTCTTTTTAATCAAATTGTTTTGGGGGGTTTTGTGATACACCTTGCTAAAACCCAAAGTTTCAGCAACCCACCACATATTTATGATTTTTAGTAGTAGCAGCAAGGAAATCCTCAGTGCATTATATACAGTCATTCCAGTATAATCAGTGTGTTTTACTTTTATAATGACAGCACACACTACAGTAGAGAGCTTGTACATAATTTGCTTGTACACAATTTTGTATCGGTGTGATGTATGAATATATACTAGAGGGATTTCTGCTACCACATATTTATGATTTGACTCAATAGGAGTTGTATACCTGGTAGGTCACCACATTAGTTAGAAAACCACAACATTTTCATAGATTTACATTTGAAAGAAATAAGCTAAATAAGTCTCAAGTTGACTCCATGAATGTGAAATGAAGAAAAATAATAAGTGAACTGCAACCATGTTTTGAATCTCCTACAACATTTTTACAAAACTCTCTAAGCTGCAACTTATTGAAATATGACATCAAGAGAACAGTAGGATGAAGTTTGAAGCCACAAACGTTGAAATCTTTACAATAGACTGCTTCTACATACAGTCATATATACAGTATATACATGTCCATATGTATACATGTATACATGCATATGGTAACCAGAGCATTCAATTATAGAATCATTTTTACAAAGAAATGTTTCAAATGAATGAGAAATTGGTTGTAATAGAATTGAATATATGGAGAACAAATTAAATGGCTTTATTATTACTGTTACACAGGCCAACTAGATACAAGATCAAGAACAGAGCCTTTAAAATTCAGAGTAAGTGTGAACACAACACGAGTTTTCTTATGTTGTTATGTTTTTTCTGGAATTTGCATTTAGAGCTTGTTTCTGTGCTGCCATGATTAGTGTCTCTGTGCTGTTTTTCAGTCCAGCTTTGTCTAGCCACTGGTAGGATTTCTGGATTCAGCCATTTCCTCTATCCGCCAGTGGTACTTACCGTGCAGGGGCCTGTCCTTCCATGATGGCTCCTCCAGTTGCTACTCTACTTTACTGGGTTTCTGTTGCCTGAGGTATTCACTGAGTACGTGGATGAGAAAACCCTTCATTGTCTCATCCTGGACAGTGGTTCTGAAACTCACCAGTACCGGGCATCATTCCTTACACTTAGCGCACTCAGTCTCAGGGTGCTGGACTGGGGTGATACCTTCCGTGCTTAGTCAGGAGCGTCTTTGTCTTGATGTTACTGGCTTCCATCTCCTTCTTTAGGCAGCTTATTATCCCAGCAGGGTACCTGATCACTGGCAGGCCGTAGCTGTTGATAGCCCAGATCTTGTTCCTAATATTCAACTGACTCCTTAGGACTTGCCTGACCCTCTGCAGGTACTTGGGGGTTGCAGCTTTCTTAGTGGCCTCTTCATGGTTCCTATTCACCTGGGTTCAGGCCTATGCAGAACAGCAGCGGGGAAAGCTCATCTCCTTGGTAGATCCCGCACTTGATGGTGTCTTGTGCAATAGGCTTGAAGTTGGCCTCCAGTGTTGTTTGCCACATCCCCATCAAATTCTTGATGAAGGCTCTCAGGGTCCTGTTGATCTTGTATTGTTCTAGGCATTCCACGACTCAAATGTGGGTCGTTGAGTTATAGGCCTTCTCAATCTGGGCAGTGCACAGGTTGGTCAGTCTGGTCTTGCAGTCTTGGGTGACTGTTCGGTCTACCAGGAACTGGTGTTTTGCTCCTCTGGTATTCCTGCCAACTCCTTTCTGTGCCCCACTCGTGCATTGAATCATGTGCCTATTCATCTTAGCGCTGTGATGCCTGATAGGGGCTTCCATGTGGTACTGGGGCAGGTTATAGGTCGGTAGTTGGATGGAACCAGTCCCTTCTGGGGGTTCTTGGGGATCAGGACTGAGCAGTTAGCCATTCTGGGTGTGTTTCATCCATTAGCAGCCTGCTCATTTGTGCTACCAGATGCTCATGGAGTGCAGTCAGTTTCCTCAGCCAGTAAACGTTAATTATGTTGAGGCTTGTGGTGTCCAACTTGTCAATGGAGAACCTTTTTTGCCACTGTGATGGTTGCTGGACCCTGTTCAGGGAGGTCTGTCTGATCTGCTCTTAGATTCACTAGCCACTGTTATGTGTTGCAGCCTTCTCCCATATGCTCTTCCAGTATTGCGCCATCTCCAGACACAAAAGTTTGGACACAGCTTCTTATTTAATGTTTTTCTTAATTTTTACCACTTTCTACTAGAGATGGCATGATAACAATACCACTTTTTTATGTCCGATACCGATACCAATATCATACATTTGGATGTCTGCCAATACCGATATGAATCAGATATAGTGTATTTTATAATCAATAAAACTGTCTTTTTTAATTTCTTGCTGCATTTTGTAAAAGTTCTGTCATGGCAAATGGGATGAGCCGTGAGGAGAAAATAAATGAGGCAGGCACTTGCTGAGATGTGAAGGTGGTTTATTGTAAAATAAAGCACAAGGTGAAAAATGGCAAAATGGAACTAAAGATAATCTAAGCTGGGAAAAACTAAACTACTAAACAGCAAATATGAACACGAACATGAAGGAGGGTGAGCAGAGGCATATGAAGGTGGATGGCAGGGAAAACACACGGAGAATACACAGTTAAATCACAGATAGACCAGCGACTAGTACACAAGTAGAAACAACTTAAATACACACAGGAGAACACAGGGAGATTACACACAGGTGGGGAACACAGAAGGAAGTAACTGACAAGATGAGACAGGGGAAGCAAAACTGAATACACTCACATGACACACAGAACTTCACTGTAAAACAGGAAACAAGAAACAGAAACAAGGACGCTGACTTGACGCTGAACTAAACCGTTAAACAGAATAAACTGAAACATAGAAAATAATATTCAAAACAGGATAACAAAAGAATCAGAACATAAATCATAATACAGAAGAATACCAAAACATAAGAAACTGAAAATGCTGGGTCAAAATGAACCACAACCCTGACAAGTTCATACTCAAATTTTAAAAAACAAAACACTGCTGCTATTCTGGTATACCTGTATGCTAAAAATACACTGCACACAAAATATTTCATAGTTCAGCAATACTGATCAATCTAATAAACCTTTTTCCCAAAGGAAAAAATAAGTTAAATACCAGCTTACCTCTGGCGTCCAGGGCATAATTGGCCGCTTTTGACGACTTTTGATTTTACCTCTATGTTTCACCTTTAAAAACTGTTTATGTTGCCTTATTTGGTATCATTATTTTCAGCACAACCTCTAAGATCTGAAATGTGAGTTATTTTTTCGTTTTGACATACTATATTTACACAATTAAAATGTAAATTTAGACAAAAAAATTAAAATCCAAGTAGAAAACAAGTTATATTTTTTACAGTAAAAACCACAAACATGTTTAACGAAGCATTTTCATAACTTACAATGCAAATAGAAATTGTACATTTCTAAAAAATTATGCACACGTTTTACAAACAACAAAGTTATATGGAACTATTTACCTAAAAATGCAGCCAAGGCCTCAGGCGTTTTTTATATAACCATTTAAATCTATTTACAGAACAATCAGGTGTTCTGCATCAAATAAGAAGGCACAAAAATTACTTGTGCCACTCCAAAAAAAATGTTTCTGTCCACTATAAGACAGAGGAGAACACCACTGGCCTAAACCCTGCAGGTCTGTCAACAGGAGCTGTATCAGTCCAGTTTTACATGTGGAGACAGCATTTACACTGGAATTTGCCTTTAGTGGCTTTTTTTGGAGCAAATGTGACATCCATCAGTGTAACTGACACACAAAACAAAACAATGACTACACCACACACTAACTATAGCCTCGCTAAATGTCACTAATGTCTCACAAAAACTCGCTTTCACTCTTTCTTTCTTTCGCTCGCCCGCTTTCTCTTGTGGCATCTGCTGCAGTCGTTTTGCTGCTTGTTTCCTCTTTGTGGTGCAAAGTGGGCGATAAACAAACAAGAGAGACAGACTTGTGACAGAAAAGCCGATCATTGATCATTTTCATGACTGAAGTAGCAGCAGGAGAGAGAGGCAGTCGCTCCATATATCGGTTGTTAAGCTTAACATGGAAATGCTTTGCAAACATTCAGAGATGAACTTACACACTTGCTTTACTTCTCAGGGATAGCTATCTCGGAGATGAAATGCCGGTTTGGAAGCACGTAGCAAGGCTCCAAGTGCTCAACCAGACCGCTGACAGGCCTCGCACGCCACAGCCGCTCTATCACGTGACGCATACTGCTCCGACGTGCTAAGGTTATGAGCTGAGTTACGCCATGTCACAAGTTTTGTGAGGTGCTTTCCTGATATTTAATTAATCAGATTACATGTTTTATTTCTCTCCGATAGCCGATCCAGTAATTTAGGTCATTATCGGACCGATACGTAAAATCTGATCGGTCCATCCCTACTTTCTACATTGTAGATGCATACTAAAGATATCAAAAACATGAAGCAAGGTATATGGAATTATAGAAAAGATATCCATCCACCCATGCATACATTCTCTTGTGCTTATCCTTGTTATGATTGGGGGGGGGGCTATCACAGCTACCATAAGGTAAGAGGCAGGGTACACCCTGG